TTATAGTTTGTATTAGATACCAAGCTAAGTTTACCTATAAATACATTCAGTCTTAATCGTACCCTCAAGTGAGTACTTCGCCCCCTTCAGGCCAGGGACACGTGAACGGTCGTTCACTTAAAGTTTGTATACTCTAGAGGAAATAAACTTCCTCTGCACAAGGTGCTGGGTGACCCCGTCACAGGGACTGTTCGGGCAGAACACCGACAGTGACGTTAGCAACTGGTGCAAATATGCCAGTGCCACCTCTTTATAGGGGAAGTTCAAAGAAAGAGAAACAAGATTTCAAGGATAGCTACATGGTATATAAACGACGGGTCGATGCTTTGAACCAAGGGACGCAAACTCAGGTTTTCGTAATGCCAATTGGAGCGTGTATAGAGCAGAGCACGTTAGTGAGAATTTGCCGCTTCGAACTGTTCGAGCAGGAAACTCAAGTTACGGAAGATGACTGGAGGAACTACTTTCTAGACGCTCGAAATCCAGATTACACACCGTACCAGCGCCTGGACATTGAGATGCGCAAGTTAGCTATGGATGTGAACTTGCTGGACGCAGTGTCGAGAATGTCTCGCCTACTCGCTGACTTTTACAAGGCTGTGGATGGGGTCAACATGGTGAGCATTATCCATGAAGACCCAAAGCGAGTCGTGGGATATCTTATCGATGCTGGAGCTTTCCGTTCAGCCATCAAGGATAATCTGGACCGTCCTGCTGGTAAAATTAAAAAAAAAAAAAGACGTGTCAGAATTTTTGCGTTGGTTAAAGCCTCGAGTTGAGAAGTTCATGAAGTTCGAAGCTCACATTTCTAGTAATCGATCAGACAACAGCAGCTCTAGCCAACAGCAGCAGCGGGGTAAACCTCTCCGTAAATTGACTGGAAAGCAAGAGAACGCATTCAGTGACGGTACGAAGATAGGTACTGCAACCTCGTCGCAAGCCGAAAATGCTGCCAGCAAGAGCCGAGCTGATCAAGGTGATCGCAAGAGCAGAGGGCCCAGTAGTGTTGTGTCTCGGCACGTGCGCTCCTGTTTTAAATGCAGCGATTTTACTCACTCGATATTCCAGTGTCCACAGGTCACTGATTTTGCCGAGGCAAAGCAGCTCTATGAGGCGAAAAAGGAAAGAAAGCTCGACCAGAGAAGACCGTGGGTATAACGCGGCTACAGGGTTCCACACACTCATCGCTAAATAGGACGCGTGTTGATACGATTATCAAGCCTGATAGCGGCGCTGAAGTGAGCATGATAGCGCAGTGCCTTGTGGACAAAATCAAAGCAAATCAAGTGTGGTTGCCACGACGGAACTTGAGCCACTCACAGGTTATAAAGGGAATTGGTCCTACGCCTATCACAACTACAGAAGAAACAAATTTGTTTTTGCGGTTCGAGACGCCTGGCGGTCCGCTGGTCTTGAGGAATGTGAGCTGTTTGATCTCCACGGACACGTTGCCCGATCGTGTTGGAGATATCTTACTGTCTGATTCGGTAATGGAGGGTTTGGGCTACGATCCCCTTAAACTAATTGAGTCTGCTCGGATGGTTCAGCCGGAATACGATCTCAGCGATTTGGGCGCGACCGGCGACAACGCGGATGCATTCGCTTTTGGGGTACAAAAGACGGATTTAACGCCTGAAGAAAAAGGGCAGAGTGAAGCCGAGGATGCTGCGTGTTTTCCGGTGCCAAATGAGACGAATTTAGACGTTGAAAAGGTCAAGGCAGCTCTAAGAAAGGGTATTAATGATGCTAAAGCCAAAGGCGCGTCTCCTGAGTTTCTGGAGGAGGTACAGAAGCTGTTAGAGGATCATATCGACGTGTTTCGTATGGCACTGGGTGGTGATCCACCCGTTGATATGCCACCAATGCGTATCAAGCTTAAGCCCGGAGCGACGCCAGTTCGATGTCGCTCACGACGATATTCATCAGCTCACCGCGAGTTTCTCGCTCGCCACGTGAAAATGCTGATCGATGCCGGCCTTTGTTACAGGAACCCATCCAGTGAATGGTGTTCACCACCCCATGTAGTGCCAAAAGATGACGATTACCAGATGACAGTCGACGTTCGGGAAGCGAACAAGCGTGTTGTACCAGTAGTTTAGCCGATGCCCATACTGGAAGTCGAATTTTATCTACTAAAGGGCTGCAAGTTTTATTTTTCCGTGGATTTTTTTTAAAGGTTTCTGGCAGTTTGGTGTTGCGATCGATTGCCAGGAAATTTACTCGATTCTCACGGAAATGGGGGGTAATAACCCCGACTCGTGTCCTCATGGGAGGAATGAACAGTGTGGCGTACGTACAGTCCACGGTGCAAGCCATGTTAGGGGATCTATTTAATACCGGTCTTCTTATCTGGATTGACGACCTTCTTGGTTACGCAGATTCGCCAGACAAACTGTTGGAGATATTGCGGAAAGTGCTTACTATCTGTGCTCAAAAAGGTCTAAAGCTCAATCCCAAGAAATGCAAGTTTTTCATGACTGAGGCACTCTGGTGTGGTCTCGAGCGATGGTGTCCAACATGACCCAGCACGAATCCAGGCTTTGCGTAATCTATCTGCGCCGACAACTGGTCAAGAATTGCAACAGTTTATTTGCGCGCTCAATTGGATGCGCATGTCAATCCCAGCCTTTAACAAGCTGGTCAACCCACTGGTAGTGTTCATGGAAAAGGTGTATGCCGCCGCTGGTGGTCGGAAAAAATCGATAGTGCGACGAGTGTTGCTAAAGGATGTGGGTTGGTTTGACGTCGAAATTGCTGGTTTACTACACTGCAAAGATGCGCTCGAAAATGCGCTGACGTTAACGCATCCAGATCCTGAAAAAAGTTTGTGTGTTTTTGCTGATGCCAGCTATGACCCCAGTAGAGCCGATCGTCACTCCAGTTCGAGTTAAGCCGGCGACGATAAAAGACATTAAAGCTATTCGCGGTGTTAACTTCGAGAAGTTGAAGAAGGTTTTGGACAAAATGCACAAGAAAGTTGCAGAAGCACGTAACCTCGCACGCAAAAATGGTCGAACAAAGGCAGCCAAGCGCGGTTGTGAAATGGCGCAGTTTGCTTTTGGGGATTTCGTTTTTTATGCAGATGTCTGGGCTCACCGTCGATCTAAACTACCGGTCAAATGGTGTGGACCAGCACGTGTGGTTGATACTTCCTCCAATTGGATAATCGTTGTCGAAAACTTGCTGACCGGAGAACGTCGCGAAGCACACGCCAGTCGTCTTAAGTTTTTTGCTGACGCTAAACTTGGAATTACCGAAGTTTTACTCGCCCAAGTAGCTCACAATAGTGAAGGCCCTGTGGTGGAGGAACTTTTAAAAGCGCGTTACAACAGCCCGGCGAAGTTGCATGAACTGCTTGCCAAATGGAGAGGTCTAACAGAAGAAGAAAATTCCTGGGAACCAGCCCAAAAACTGATCGAGGATGTTCCAGCAGTGGTAAATCAATTTTTTCTACCAACAACCAAAACATTCCGGCGGTAGTGAAGCTCATGGAAGACATCAACTGGTCTACCATGTAGATCCTGCATTTTAGCTTCATCGAAGGGGGGAAGTGTTGCTTGCTGTCGACGCACTGTCATCATAAGCAAGCACGTTGGCCTTTAGAAACCACTAGAAACCCCTAGAAAAAAAGCAGCTAGATGATTCAATCCACTTCATATTTTCACTTCAAGCTAGCAGAGGGAACAGTCCCGAACCACAACCTGGCCGTCAATTGCTAAGAGCAAGTCGCCGCTCTCGAGTTTCTCGGCGCAGTCTGTGCCAGCAGCACAACGCTTGATTCCGAGAACCTGGCGCTTATCCTCGTAGCAAGACTCGAGTTTCTGGATCCATGCGTCCGATGGTCCAAGACCCGAGCGTGCCTTTGACAGTGAGAACGTCAGTAATTGCGCCGGCAAAATGTTCACAGACTCGTGAATACGAGACGCCCGAAGTTCATCAACAATGGGTCGGACGATGCTAACCGGTAGACCACGGAAGACTTCCTTACGACCAGCATTATACTGGTAGCTGAACGAGAGCCAAAGAGCATTCACAGCGCCAACGTCATCGATGAAGACGCCACCCACAGACTTTGTAATACGGTCAAAGTGCAGCACCTCGATGTTGCCTGCTGTGTACCGTTGGGGACTGGAAATCCCTCAAGACAAGCCGATCTAGCTTCGTTACAACAGACTTCATGGTGACCACCGTCCAGTTGCTGCTCAATCCGATATAGCCAGCAGTCTCACCAACTTCTAGCGGTTTTTCAGCCAACTCAACACTCCCAATGTGGCCTGCTACAGCGCCCGGAGTCTTAGGGTCATAGTGTACAATGGAAAAATTGTGAAATGGATGCACAAACACCACTTTAGCGGGGACCTCCACACTAGCAGCAATAGTAATCAACACGTCGCCCAACGCAACAGGGACGGTGTTTTAATCCACAAGCACAAAACCTTGTTCAGCATCCACGACGACTCCCATCCCGTGGTAACTCGAGCTCGAAATGCCATCAATCATGTAAGGAATATCAAACGATACCATCACCAGCGACAGTAACGTCTTCTTACCGAGTGCGTTGCCTCCAACGGTGCAGGAGCAAACGTCAGGTTTCCATTTGCTGTAGCCACAAGTGAGTTCACTCCATTGGATGCTTCTAATGTCCTTGAGGAAGCTTTGGTAGGTCTTCTTTGTATTGGCTGACGTGCACGCGCTCCGGACCTGGTCCCCGCTGAGGTTTCTTCTTATTGCCGTTTGTCTTGCCGCTTCCTCCATGGAGGCGTCGATTGTAGCCACATCGTGGTCGCTGCTAGACATATCTTCTTCACTGACAGTGAGGCATTTGGTGGCTCCACAGATGTTCATTTTTATCCAATCGAATGCGTGTTAACGCGTAGCACGGCATTCTGAAATCAAAGCGTTGTAAGAATCCACTTACTAAAAATAGTACAAAAATCCACCATTCAATTTTTATTGAAAGAGATCATAACACACCTGTGTTACGCTGGCTTACATTTGCTCATGGTGGGGTTACTGTAGTTGGAGAATGAGTTGTGTCGGGATCGGTTGATAACGCTAAATATTGAAATTGGATTGGCTAAAAGATATCGCTGAACGTTCAAAGTTGTCATTTGAAAATGCGCAGTGGACATCAAGTGCATCGGTCTCCTTATGCTGCACAAGTACGATTGATACACTGAAGGTAATGCAGTCTGTCACTTTGTGTTACAAGAGCTGTATTTCTGGGTGTGCTGGCATTTTCATCGGCACATTAGCGATTCCTTCGCGGTACATGCAATCAACCTCCTCTTGTGTTGTGGGGCGGCAAATGCTTTGCTGTGTGGCACGCTCGACACCTGCCACTATGTGGCGGACTAGAACAATCCACTCGGAGAACATCTTTCGGTTGCCTTTCGTGAAGTTCGACGGGTATAG